GTTATAACTCACAGTGGTGATGGGAAGGGTCTGGGAAGAATTCCAACTCAACTAACTTGAGTTGCTTCAACTAAATTTTGAAGGGTTTTTATGAGTTGGCTGGATAAAAAAAAACAGAAGGGTATTCTAGGTAAAGAGAACTCTTAGGGCAGAGGGATCAAGATGGAAGAGATTAAAGTGCCTTGCTAGAGACAAAAGATAGAGAGATGGGGTTGGAGAGGAAAACAGAGGCCAGGTCATAAAGGGCGTTGTTAATCCATGTCAAAGAATCTGGAATTCATCCTGAGGTCATTGGAAAACCATTCCATAACTTTAAGGAAGGGAGTGACCCATGATAACTTTAAAAATGAATCATAATAATTAACAATGATTGATTCCTTATTGTGTGCCATGCAGTCTTTTGAGGCCTGTCATGTACAATGACTCACTTAATCTTCTCTAAATTCCTTTGAGTTGAGGACTATTATTAGCATCATTTTGTAAATGAGGAAGCTGAGGCACACTTAATGCAGGAACTTCTCTCAGGGTGGCTCAACTAATAAGCGGTTGTACTAGAATCCAGAACCAGGCTGTTGGCTCCAAAGAGAAGCACATATAAGTACTATGCTATCTACTTAATTCCTTGTCACCAAAGTAGGGTTCCTGGACCAGGGGTGTTAGCATTACCTGAGAACAAATCCTGGGCCTCACTCCAGAACTACTGAATCAAAATCTGAATTTTAGTAACATTTACCAGGTAATTTGTATGCACATTAATGATTGAGAAGCATCAGCTTAACCCACATGAGGCAACTGGGCCAGAGATGATGAATTGAAAGCCAAATACCCCATCTAAAGAGAAATACCATTCTAGATCCTGTTGATTGGTGAATGCTGAAAGGTACTGAGCACCCCCACTCCTACTGCAAATTCATTTTTCACATTTTGATGGTAGGGAGGGGATATGGATTTTTTAGAAAAGCCATTTTGTGGGGGCATCACTGTATTGGCCGGCAAAAGATGTTTGCAAGTAGAATTTGGCCTAGCAGCTGACAGTGTAAAATCTCTGGCTCACAGTTTAGAGATTTAGGGGCAGGGAGAAGCTTCTGTCCCCTTGGGTCACTTTTAGTAATTTCTTTGTCTCTAAGCTGACAAATATTTGAGTGTAATGACTAGAGAATAAGTCTAGGAGTAAGGAACCAAAGAAGCCCCTTCATCTGTGTTTCGTCTACAGTTTTGAGAGCTGCCTGTTCTAGGTGGTGTTTATGTTGGTTTGGGACCAAATCCATAGTTGGTAAGAAAAAGCAATTCTTTTCTTGGTGTGTCTTATGGTGACAGAGGAAGACAACTTGTCAAGAATATAGGGTTGGGGATTTTGACTGTCTGTCATTGTCTTTCCAGAGACTAATCAAAATGTGTATGGGTTTGGGAACCCAGGTACCTTGGGAACTCGGATGAGCTTCTAAGTCAATGGGGTGGCCATGGGTGAGGGGGGTCCTCTGTATCTGAAGCTGGGTACCAGAGGGGGACATGTGGTCTGCTTGCCTGCCACAGGAAGCCCAAGCGGCAGGTTCTAACCTGCAGTTCTCCCCCAGGTTAGACCCTCCCTCTGCATCCAGCTGGCGCTCCCCAGAGATGGGCCTGCACCCTCCTGGCCCCATGTCTGTGATACAGTGGCTTCAACTGGGGACAGGGGCATGGAAAAAAAAAAGTACCTTTGGAATAATTGTACAATAGGTACAGTAATGTACCTTTTATGATGTATGCTATAAAAAACAGGTGTTTTTTAGTGAGATTGCACTGTTCTCTGCCAAGAAACCTAAAGTAAGCAGCACAGATTTTCTTTTGCAGACTTGTAGGTAGCAACTAGAAGTTTTAAGTGATACAATATATATAAATTTTATTTTAGAAGTATCATGGGAATATGGAGAATAAGCTGGAAAGGATAAAGACTGATGACCAATAAGGAGGCTATTTGAATGGTCCAAGAGAGGAGTGAATGATATGCATGCATTCACTCAAGTCAAATAACTGGGAGTCACCTTGGACTTTCTCATTCCCACAGCCATTCCGTCACTGAGTCCTTCAAATTCTACTTTCTTGATGCCCGTCACATTCATTCCTTCCTCTTACTTCCATTGCTATTTTCCCTATTCAGGTCCATGTTCTTTTTTTACTTAGACTGTAGGCAGAAGTGTCTCCAGTCACTCTACTTTACAACCTGTCTTTCATGTAACTACCAGAATGGGATTTCTAAGACAAAAATCTGACTTTTTCATTACTTTAAATAGAAAAATTCTCCAGGGGCACCCAGATGGCTCAATCAGTTAAGCATCCAACTCTTGATTTCTGCTCAGGTCATGATCTCAGTCAGGGTGGTGAGACTGAGCCCCACATTGCAGCAGCCTTGGCACTCAGCTGGGAGTCTGCTTCTCTCTCTTTCTCCCTCTCTCTCTCTCCCTCCTTCTGCCCCTCCCCCACGCATACACACTCACCCTCTCTCTCTTTCTCTCTCAAATAAATAAATAAATAAATCTTTTTAAAAAAAGTTCTCAGGGCGTCTGGGTTGCTCAGTCGGTAAGCATCTGTCTTTGGCTCAGGTCATGATCTGGGGGGGTGGTCCTGGGATTAGCAGGTCTGAGGCTCCCTGCTGAGCTCCCTGGTTCTCCTTCTCCCTCTGCCCTTTTCCTCACTCATGCTCTCTCTGTCTCTCTCTCAAATAAATGAATAAATATTTTAAAAAATAAATAAAAATTAAAATTAAAACATCACAAATTAAAAATAAATTTCTCCAGTGGAATATAAGCGCTTCAGGGACTGGGCTACAATTTGCTTCTTTGCTGTATCTTCTACTCATTCATCTTACTCATTATCCACTTAACCCCCAACATCCAGATATTAGAGAAATGTTTGCAAAACTCTGAATATGCCAGGATGCTTCATGTTTACATTTTTCCATTTCCTTTCCTTTTTCCTACCTTCTCCCATCTTTTCTCCCCTTTCTGCCCCATTTGGAAAAACATGTTCATCTTGCCAATCAGCCTTTGCTGAAAACTCCATACCAATGCCTTCATTATTTCCTGGGAAGAATTTCCTAACCCCAAGTGTGTAGCAACAGCATAATAATAAATATTCTTAATAATTATTTATTGAACAAATGAAAACAAGGGTGTGTGCTCTTTTCCTAATTCATTAGTGGAAGAGTTTGGTGGTTTTTTCCTAATCCCACATCACTGTTTAGGAGAGCTTGTTCATTCCCATGGGCTTCAATTATCACCTCTACAGAAGTAACTTCCAAAGAGGCTTAAATTCTGTGTCCCTTATTGCTTCCCAGATATTCTAGTGGGAAAAATAAGCCCCAAGCAGGTAAGTGACCAGAAGTCTATTACAATAGTCTAAGTGAGAGGCAGTGAGAATGGAAATTAGGCAACAAATTGAAGAGACATCTGAGATGTAAGTTGCATCCAGGCCAGATGGGGAGACTCTTGCTAGTGTTCTGTAATGACACAATATGTGCTGTTGTCCGCTTTTCCTGTGATGAAGGCTGACACAGGGAGTGGAGTGCTTGCAGGACTGAGGAAGGACAGACATCGTCAGAGCACCCCTCCTTTTTCCTTCTCCTTTCTTCTCAAAGTTGGATTTACAGATGAGTGAGAAACCAATGGAGTTGGTTACCAAGAAGGGAAAATTCTAGTTTCTCCTCTAAGCTCTAGGTCTAATCTTTGGTCTCATGATTCCCAGGTCTATAAAGTCAAGACTGCCAAGTACTTTTAGTAATTGCATGACATTAGACCAAAAAATGTCCTTTATGCCCTTTATTCACAATTTATGGCTTTGGCAGATTGGCATGGTAGACAGCTGAATCTACCTCAATTGACTACCAGATCTGCTGTCTCCTGGATTCACCTAGAGGACTGTAGCTCCAGGACAAAAATCCAGGCAATTACAAGGCTTTGCCTGGCAGGCCTCCTGGGGGAAGCTGCTCTTCCCTCACCAGACTTGGTATGCCACCAGTGCATCTGGAAGAAATTGCAGTCAAGGACTCAAGCCATTTTTGAGCCAGCCATACTCATGTGCCTATCTGCATTCCCAGTCTAGGAAGCTCTATTTGGAGGCCCCTTTATGGTGAGGCTTTTGTTGATACACTGTTCAAGCACCTCCACCAAGACCTTGGCCAAGGCAGTTTTCTCCACTTGGACTCAGTACCTTTTCACACCATGCTCTTTCCCCTCTTCCTTCCTGTGGTCCCATAAGTCCATAAAAAAGCAAGAGCTTTTTTGTTGTTGTTGTTCAGAATTCCTTGGCAGTGAGATGATATCCCCATTCGTGCTTCCATTTGATATATGCCTCATGCCATTCCACGGGGAGAAATAGAACACTAGTGAGTTAGTGTCTTCCTCCTTTCCCTCTTGCCTGCACTGTTGTAGAAAGCAAATAAAAAGGTTTGCTTGTTATTTTCATTTTTGGCCTCTTATCCTAATGAACCACCTCAACACCTGGCAGCTTGGCCCACATCTGTTTGGGAGCCCTGTTGTTTAAATAGGTGTAAGAATATTCTATCCCAACTCCCTTCTGCTAGGGCTCTGGGCTCTTGAAACAAGAGCTTCTTATTATACGTGCTATAGATTCTATGTTTTTCCTTTCACTATAGCAAGATTCAAACATGTTGAGAAAAGGAGAATGGATAATCCAGATGCACATTAGATTGCATTAGAAAAAATATTGAAACTTCTGAAACAAAACCAGCATTTTTGCTTGGCCTACAGAATAATGTGACTAATTTTGGCCAGATGGAGCATGATTATGAATTAGCTACATGTAGACTGGATTTGAGACACTAAACAATGACCCACTACATTGCTTTAAATTACACAGATGAGGCTCTTTGCCCATGGTAGTTTAATTATTTTCTTGGAAGACATTACAATTCTTTATCCAGGAAGCCTAATGAATTTTATAATTACCTTTTCCTCTGAAGTCCACAAATGATGATTCCCCATTTGGATTGGTAAAGAAGAACCCACAGTGGGAAGCATTACTGATGTGTAAAAAACTCAGGACAGCATTCCTTTGCTGACCATTCCCATTTTTTGCACATATCCAAGAGTCAATTGAAGTGTGTGCACCTCTGGGCCTGGGGGAGGAGCAGAGCAAATTTCTTTTACCCCGTCAAGGCTCATATCTTTATTACTTTCATAGCTCCTGCCTTGGATTAGTCCAGCACTTTTGTCTGGATTGTTAGGAGCTATTGCTAAGTAGGCATCCAATTTGCCCTCCACATTGACATCTGAGTTCCCATTATCAAATCCAAGCCTCTATTGACTAGCCAATGCCTTTAGGATCAAATCAAAACTCCTAAGCAAAAAACAAACAAAAAACACCTAGGCAAATAAGATCTGGAACACCAGTCTCATTTTCCAGCATCATCACATTGTATGCTCAAGGCATCATATCCCTGCTCTCTTTGAACAAAATCCCTTCTACTTCTGTGTCTTTGTACCAATTATTCCCCTGGCTAGAGCAAAGTGCCCATTCTCATTCCTCTTCTAGGAGCCATCATACTCACCTTTTGATACCAGTTTGAATTTTAGTTGTTATGTTCAATACGTTAAAGATGGAAGAGCAAAATGGGAGAGAGTAAGGGTACCTGAAGCTTGGACTGCACCACCCATCGCTGTGAATTTGAGTGACTTGTTTATCTTCCCCAAGCTTCTGTTCTCTCAAAAGTAAGTTGGCAACTTTTTCCTCCCAGCTTCACTGAAGTAAAATAGACAAAAAACTGTATATATTTATATTGTAAAATGTAATGGTTTGATATATGTATAGATAGTGAGGTATTTACACAATCAAGTTAACACATCCATTACTTCAGTTACCTTTGTGTGTGTGTGTATAGTGAAGACATGTAAGATCTACTCTCTTAGCAAATTCCAAGTATATAATACAAATTATTAGCTATAAACCATCATGCTGTACGTTAGATCCCCAGAACTTATTCATCTTACAACTGAAAGTTTATACCCTTTGACCAACATCTATTTCCCTCAGCTCCTGGAGACTACCATTCTACCCTCTGGTTCTGTGAGTTGGAGATTTAATAGTCACTACGTATGAGACTGTTGGGAGAGCTAATTGCAACAACCTTTTAAAACTGCCAAAAAAAAACAAAAAAACAAAAACAAAACTGCTTAACACTGTGCCTGACATATTGTAAGTACTTCATATGTAGACGCTATTATGTCTATTTGTTGACATTTTCTCCAATTCAGTTGTATTTTGACTTGTTATGCTTTAGCTTAACTAGCTTTTATGCTTGGAATTGTATTAGTTTGCATGAATTGAATGGCCAAGGTAATAGTCATTATCACTTCTAGTTTATTTAGGCCTTAACATTTACCACAGCTGTATCTTATGGAGTATGGTTGAAGAAATTGTATGGAACTACCATGTGATAGTGATATTGTAAATTTAATTCTATCAAGAACTATTAAGCCAGGATCAAGTTTTTATATATTGGGGATTCTTAGAGTCCAGTCAGGTATATTTAGTACTTTGCATTAATAACAAGCAACATTTACATAATCAAATGACTTAAAGACTCTACCTTTGTAAATTCTTTCTATTTATGTTCGCTATGCTTATATAAAGAAAAGTATTTTTACTGAATTTATACACATGAGTGTTATTTTGAATACCATCTTGGACTTATTCATTCTAATTTCAAATTTGACTTATTTCAATTACACAGCAAGGTCGAATTTATTTCCATTCTATATCAAATGCCCAGATTTAATAGTGATTTCTTTAAAAAAAAGATTTTATTTATTTATTTGATAGAGCCAGAGAGCACAAGCAGGGAGAGCAGCAGAAGGAGAGGGAGAAGCAGACTTGCTGCTGAGTGGGAGCCCTTTGAGGGGCTGGATCCCAGGACTCTGGAATCATGACCTGAGCCAAAGGCAGATGCTTAACCGACTGAGCCACCCAGGTGCCCCTTATTGTGATTCCTAAACTAGCTTTTGAGATCTGATCAACTTTTATATATAAATAACAGTTTTCTGCCAAGAGGGGTAATATAATTTGCAGTAAAAATTATTTTTGAATGACTAGCTTCATTTTTGAGTGTATACATGTGTACAACTATGTTTCACTCATCTAAAATTACAAATTTAAATGTGTTAAGAATAGAAACTCTCCCCCATTATTCCACAGCTCCACAGGAGCTTTACAGTTACTGACTTTTCTTCTACAAACCTATAATAGCTTGTAGTACCTCACTTTTCACTTTGTATCACAATATTGGTTCACAAGGCCATTCTGTACCCATTCACAACTGACAACTGAATGAATAAATAAAAATGAATAGATGAGTGAATACTTAAAAGCCAAATTGTTTCTTTGAGTGATCTATCCATGAATCAGACAGATGTTCTCAGGTTAGGCTATGGCATATTAAAATACAAAGTCCTGTTTGACTGTTGTACCTGATCCCCTGCCCGATATCCTTCACCCAGCTGAATATGACAAGTTTTGGGAAACTATGGAAGGGCACAAAGCCAAAGTTGGCCTAAGATCCCCAACTTAAACAGTAGTACCTGCTCTGGCACAACGACCCCAGCCACCAAGGGCTCAGCGAAGATCCTGTCTTGATCAATACCTACCCTAATTTCAGACCCACTTCCGAGACCTCATTCTTAGGAGTTCATTTTGGAATCTGGTCCCTCTTCTCCTGGTATGTTTTCAAAACTGACAGAGATAGAAAAGAAAAACTTACTCAGGAAAGAAAATTGGATCAAATATTTAACACCGCACATTAAGCCTGGTAATAATGACTAGATGTATCACTGTCCAAATAAATTTTATATTAATCATTAAAAAATAGCAAAAATAAAATAAAATACAAAGCAAAATAAAATAAAAAAATACAAAATACAATAAAATAGCAAAATAAAATACAAATGTGAGCACATGTATAATATGGTTTCACATTTTACATGGATATACTGTATATCCACATGGTATATGCATTGGTACTCTTCAAGTGCATGTAATTTGGGAATGACTCATATCAGGAACTGGTGACAAGAACAGGCACTGTGTTACAAAGTCTAGCATTTCAAACATTTTTGCTGTTTTGATTTTTAAAAAATTTAAAAATATTTTATTTATGTATTTGAGAGAGAGAGAATGAGAGGGAGTGTGAGAGGCACTCTCCCTGCTGAGCAGGAAGCCTAATATGGCAACTCAATTCCAAGGCCCTGGGACTATGACCTGAGAGGCAAGACATCTGCCTGAGCCACCCCGGTGCCCCATTTTTTCTATTTTTCAAGTCAATTTTTAATCTTTTTAAAATCTGGATCTGTGAAATGACATTGAATCTTACGTTTAAGCACAGGAAAGTAAAGAATTAGCTCACATTATATGTCAGGTCCATATAAATCCATACTCACAAGGACAGAGCTCTGTTAAGGAACGGGTCATTTTATCTGGCAGGAGATGGAAAATGAACCCAGAAATTTTCTTTCTGCCAATAAGTGTTTGGTAATGGTAACATAAATATATTCCATATGTGGTGCTAAGAAAATAAAATTACTTTTTTTTTGTCCATGTATTTTAGATTTAGAAATAAAATGCAAACTGCAGGAAAACTCGGCAGGAGATAGTTACTGGAGAATACAAAGAGCATAATTATTAGGAAGGCAAGCCTGGTATCAAAGTTACCAGGCAGCCAATCCCAAGAGAAAGTAACATGAAAGTGGATTGGGAGGGTCATCCAATCATCTAATCCAACCTTGCTGTGTAATTAAAATTGCCTGGGCAATTAGCTGTTTGGGGAGAAGTGGAAATGAACCTCTTATCATTTCGTGGGGACTTAAGAAAATTTCCTAACAAGTCAGCAGAGAGCAAATGAAGAGAAGGGGACTATTTGCCAATATAGGTACTATTAACCATAGCCTGCCTTCTCCCAACTTACCTGCAGCACTAAACCGCTGAGCCACCTGGGCTTCCCAGAAGGCACCTTTAAAAGCAAAGCTCCCCTAGCAGCAATGTTGAGGCGAGACAGAATGGATGTTGGGATTAGAAGAGCAGCAGTGGCAATGCCAAGGAGGAGCCTCATAGGAGCTTGAGGAGAATGGACAGGACTTGATGCTACACTGGACGCAGGCAGTAAGGAAGAGGGATGGCAAGTCTTCTTAGCTAAGAGCAAGAAAACAGGCAAGAGTGAAAGTCTTGCAATCCAGGGCACAGAACAGCCAGTTGGAGCTGTCTAGTTGGCCATTGTAAATATGTTTCTGGAACTCAGAAGAGAGGTCTGGATGAGGCTACTTTGTAAACCATGATAACACAGAGGAAACTGAAGACCCAGGATGAATTAGATCATCTAAAGAGGAGAGTAAAAACCAGAAAGATAGAAAAGATGAGGCATGGAACTAAGGATTAGAGAATCTGTGGGTAAAACAAAGGAAGAGAAGCTGCTGTAAGAGATAGAAAAGGAATGGTCTGAGCGGCTGCTGCTTCTAGCACAATAGAGAACAGGAAACACAATTTTGAGAAGCTGGGGTGTCTCATGCTTCCAGATTCTGTATTCAACACTTAATGGATACATATCCTTCTTAAGCACAGGTGATCATATAAGACATAAAATAAATCTAAACAGGGCAGCCCAGGTGGCCCAGCGGTTTAGCACTGCCTTCAGCCCAGGGTGTGATCCTGGAGACCTGGGATCGAGTCCCATGTCAGGCTCCCTGCATGAAACCTGCTTGCTTCTCCCTCTGCCTGTGTCTCTGCCTCTCTTTCTCTCTGTGTCTCTCATGAATAAATAAATAAAATCTAGAAAAAAAATAAATCTAAACAAATATTAAAGAATAGGCATTATGTAGAATACGTTCTCTGAGAACAATGTAATTAAGTTAGAAGTTAATCACAAGAAGATAGGTTTAAAATTCTACATGTTTGGAAGTTAAAAACACACTTATAAGTAATTTTTCAAAGAAGAAACTGAATTAGAACTTAATGAACACTTAGAGCAAATGATAATGAAAACACTGTACATCAAATCTTGAGGTTTACAATGGAAATGTTCCTCCAAGGAAAATTTATAGCCTTGCATGCTTATTTAAGAAAAGGACAGAGGTTGAAAATTAATGAGCTGAATATTTATCTCAATAAATTAGGAGAAGATTTACAGAATAAAATCAAAGAAAATAGAAGGAAAAATAAAAATACAAGCAGAAATAAGTGAAATACAAAAAGATACCATAGAACGAGTTGATAAAACAAAGTTTTTCTTAAAAAAATACGAATTAAAAAAATAAAAAATACAAATTAGACAAATCTTTGGTAACATTAATCATGAAAAAAGAGAAGAAAAAATTATTGGCTAGAAATGAGGATATATGGACAGAAATAGACTAGATTAAAAAGACTATATGAGAATACTATGAACAATTTTGTTACTAATAAGATCTAGGAATTACTATTTTCTTCTTCCCTGTTACCTTATTTAGGAAGCCATCTAATCCTCCATTTGAAGACCCTTAAGAATAAAGCAAGGTCTGCCAGCAGATTTCCAAGCTATTGCCACAACCACCCCCCTCCCAAAATTTGCTGGGGTTGCCACTTGAGATTTAGCAATTTGACTTTCAGCATCACCGTTGGGGCCCTACTTGCCATATCAGTAGTCAGTCAAGGATCTTCCTTGGGAAACTTCCTTTGCTTCACTCTGGAATTAGCCAAGCATCCAGGGTCATACACAACCCAAAGGGTGTGAGGATTGTTAACTGTCTTTGAATGCCATATGGGAATCTGATCAATCTAGTCCACCTTTGCTATTGCTTTTTGATGCATCATGGAGTCTTACGAGGTTTAGTGCTACACAATCTCATGAATACATGGTTACTGTCCTGCAATGAGAATAAAAATCCAATGAGAGGTTCTTGGAAGGATTCTGTGTCCCTCTGTGTTAAGCTTATCTATGTTTGGGATTCTAGGATTGAATTCTTAATAATTAGATTTTTTGAACCGCTGCCTTCAGAGGTACTAACCCAGGTCAGCTTTTGGTATTTGCCATGAAGGGTGGTGTAGATTTTCTCACAATCCTTAAACTATAAAATATTTGGTACCATATCTCTCCCTGGACCATCAAGGCCATTCTCAGGGGTTCCCGGGTAACCTTTCAAAGATACCCCCTAAGTAATTCTGAGGTAATTTTCTGCCCTGGTCTACATTATAAAGTAGCTGGCTTTTTCCTCATTAAATAAGAGAGAGTGAGAGAGAGAGAGAGAGAGAGAGAGAGAGAGAGAGAGAGAGAAAATTCACATATTTAATACTTGCTAAAGCACTTTTCTGGTAGGATACCACACAAAACATAGTCATGTGTTTATCTTTTTAGTCTATGGATTTCCAGAACATTAGCATACAAAAAGAAGCAGTTGGTCTACATTGTTCTAAGATCAAGAGAGATTTTAAGGAGTTTTCTTGTCATTTCTCATAAATCCATTTCCATTTCACAATCATGCCCAGGAGCTTGTGAGGCACAATGTCAGGATGTCAGCTCCGATGCCCAGTCCCAAGAGATAAATCAAATCATATCATCCCACCCTCTCTCTGCCCAAAGGCTGTCCTTTTACATAAATAGAACAGCCCCAACATTGTTACAGAGATACGTGTGTAGAACAATATTACAGCCCAGATCTTCTTCCAACCCCTTTGTTTTAAGCTTCTAAGAGATCCTGAAGAACCAGGAAAAAAAACTAGAAGATAGAGATGCTGCTAAATATCCTACATGGCAAAGGACAGCTCTCCATATTGCCAGTAAAGAATTGTCTGGCCCAAAATGTCAACAGTACAAAAGCTGAGAAACCCTAGTGTACAGAATATTTTGCAGACTTCATGTACAACATTGTTATGGACATGCTCAAAAATGAATCATTTTTCCTTTTTTTCACCTACTCACTTTTGTCAATTGTCATTCCTAACCTGATTAATGGTATCTAGTCTTATGAATGCGTATCTTGAAAATAATTTTTATTTTCTCTCTCTTCCTCATCTTGCTTATGTTAGTTCCCTTCCCATTTTATCTCCTAAATATCTGCAATCCTTCCTCCTCCCTCCGCTACCAATCCTTTGTGTGAGTGTAGACATCCTTTGGTTTGCAACTGTCTCCTAAATGGACTCCCTGCTCTGAGTCTTATAAATGCCTCCAACTCATACTCCTTGAGTATTCTAAAATGGAAGCCTAACTGCATTTCTCTCACTGTCTACAAGATAAAGGCTGAGCTCTAAGGTCTGGCTTACCATGATTGCCATGTGTTTTATTATCTGCAGATCCATGTTCTAGTGCTCTTTATCCCAATCTCCTTCTTTTCTAGTAAAACCCAAGAAAACAAAACCAACAAAACAAAAACCTTCACACTTCTGTTTATTGGACATGATGTTCCCCCTTTTTTTGGAATGGCCTCTCCACTAGCCCCCCCCACCAGCCCCTCCTGAAAGTTTCCTCCTGGAAAAATGTGTCTTTTTAAAACTCTGCTCTGTGCATGTGCATACTTCTATTGGGACACATAACACCTCAGGTATAAAATCCTGGTTCAAAAGTTGAAATGTGACAAAGCAACATGATCTATTTTTATTCCACTCAGATTTTAAAATTTTGAATTTCCATGATATAAGGTGAAACAGCCACAGTTAATTCATGGTCCTCTCCCTTTGCTCCTCAGTTGTGGTTAAATTCTGGGGGAGCCCTCATAGTATCTAAGTTTTGGAGGTGTAGGCACTCACACCTCATCCCTGTACATAGAGCTCCTTCAGATTTGGAGGTTCTTTTCTTAAGTCAGTGTCTTGCTTGTAGATAACCTCATCATTTTGCTTTGAGAATTTTTCTGAGGCTTCCTTATACCACACAACTATCCCCTTCACAGGGCTGCTTCCTACCCCAGATTACCTGGACGTTAAATCCTTAATCAGAGACCTAGAGGTATTCCTTTTCTTATAATCTTGTTAAAAATCTTACTTCAGGGATCCCTGGGTGGCGCAGCGGTTTGGCGTCTGCCTCTGGCCCAGGGCGCGATCCTGGAGACCCGGGATCGAATCCCACATCGGGCTTCCGGTGCATGGAGCCTGCTTCTCCCTCTGCCTGTGTCTCTGCCTCTCTCTCTCTCTGTGACTATCATAAATAAATAAAAAATCAAAAAAAAAATTAAAAAAAAATCTTACTTCAAAAATATTTCCTGTCTTGTGAATTTTTTGTCTTAGAGGCATCAAATACTTTCTTTCATGGGTTTAGACTTTTAATAGGTTTAGTCCCTTAAAAGCTAATGACTCTCAAATTGTTTCTGCTTAGTTCTGTAGCATCCCATATTGAGGCAGGACGAAAAACAGAACAGAGTAGCTCCTAAATCTAACAGCCCTTTGGATACACCCGGGGGACCTTTTAAAATTGAAGATGCGGGCAGCCCGGGTGGCTCAGCGGTTTAGCGCCGCCTTCAGCCCAGGGATTGATCCTGGAGTCCTGGAGACCCGGGATCCAGTCCCACGACAGGCTCCCTGCATGGGGCCTGCTTCTCCTTCTGCCTGTGTCTCTACCTCTCTCTCTCTCTTTCTCAAGAATAAATAAATAAAATCTTTATTTAAAAAAATAAAATTGAAGATGCTCCCCTGCAACTCTGCATCATCAGAATGTATGGTTTTGTTTTTTTTAAAAGATCACAAAATCTCTCATTGGTGGGAGTGGGGCAGGACTCCGCTCAATTCCTTTTTCCTTAAAGTCTCCAATTATTTATTTTATTATTATTTTTTTTTTACCTACACTGCTTACTCCCTGCGGGTTCCCCAACCTCCACGTCCCGGCTCCGCTCCCTCCTCCTCGCCCCGCCCCTCACCTCTGCGCTTCCAGTTCACCTTCCAGTCCCGCCCCGCCCCGCCCCTTCCCAGCCCCGCCTCCCTTCCCGGCTCCGCCCCTCCCATTCCCAGCCCCGCCTCCCCTCCCGGCTCTGCCCCTTCCCTCCCACCTCCCTCCCGGCCCCGCCCCCGGCCCCGCCCCCTCCCGGCCCCGCCCCTCCCCTCCTTCTCCCGGCCCCGCCCCTCCTCTCCTAGCCCCGGCTCCGCCCCTCCCTCTCCTAGCCCCGGCTCCCTCCCAGCCCCGCCCCTCCCTCTCCCGGCCCCGCCCCTCCCTCTCCTAGCCCCGGCTCCCTCCCGGCTCCGCCCCTCCCTCTCCCAGCCCCGCCCCTCCTTCTCCCGGCCAAGCCCGTCCCTCTCCCGGCCCCGGCTCCCTCCCGGCTCCGCCCCTCCCTCTCCCAGCCCCGCCCCTCCCTCTCCCGGCCCCGCCCCTCCCGCTCCCAGCCCCGCCTCCCCGGCCGGCCCCGCCCCCTTCTTCTCAGGCCCGTCCCCAGGCGGCGCAGTCTCCGCCCCTCCTTACGTTCCTGCCGGTCCCTGCGGTCCGCAGCGGACGCTTCCGTCGTCGGAGCTGTTACGTTCACGGGGCGCCGGAAGGAGGAGCCGTGAGCGCTTTTGGAATTATGGCGGCGGTGGATATCCGAGGTAACCTGCGCGGTTACCCGTTGTTTCCTGATTGGCTGGGGGCCTGGGCTGGGGGTTTATAGCTCTCGGGGGCAGGATCCAGGTTCCTTTGTGGTGACTCCCAAGCGCGCATGAGTGGTTTCTGCAGACGACCCAAGGCTCCGATCTGGCGAAAAATCGTTTTCCCCGGCTCCCCAGGGGTCTCTTACAAGCTTCAAAACCGAGGAGGTGGAAGAAGCTCTGGGTCCCGAGCCGTCGGGCCTGCAGTATTGTTGCAGACACGTATCTCTACGATGATACTGGGGTGGTTCTGCCTGGGTGGAGGGACGGCCTTTGGGCAGAGAGTGGGGTGTGATGACGTGATTGGTTCATCTCCGGGGACTGGGCGTGGGGGCCGCCCTACTCCTGACCCTGCGCCCCCCGCGTCCGTGGGCAGGAGTCCCTAAGATTTTCTTCTGTAAGTTTTATTTTTGAGTCTGTAATACCTTCCATCGAACACCCACTATTGAGGGCAGGGATCCTTTTTCGCAGCTGAATTGGAAAGGTACTCAGTTATTTGTTTAATCAGTAAAAAAAAAAAAAATACAGAGAGGGCAGCCCCGGTTTTCTTTTTGCATTTTGAAAAATTGGAAGAGTTAATTCTATTCTGAAGTATGAAATTGTATGGCTGTAATTAAGGGCATTCTACTTCTCATTTGCTTTATAACTTTTACACCATTATCTCCTCTATAAAAGCTTCCTAACTGATTTCTGTCCCTAATTGGGAGGTCTCAAACTGGTGGCTCTGACTGTGTTTCCTTTGGGATACATGTTTGAAAATTTTTGAACATAAGAAAACTCAGGATTTTCTTTTTTTTTTTTTTTTTTTTTGAGATCTTTCTAGGTTTCAAGTCCTCTCACTTCACCTAATCAAACTATTCTCTAACCATATACGTCTGTATTTCTCTACCTTTGTATGTGCATTCTCTCTGCTTGGAATGACTTTGCCCCCTTTTGGTACATGATGAGCTTCTATTTATTTTTTAGTATGTAGTGCCAAAACCTGCCTCCTCCTTACCCTGTGAAAAATCATTCCTATTCCCTCAGGTAAGGTGTTCTCCCTCCATTATGCCCTGATAACACATTTATTCATGCCTTTGTTGTAGCACTTGTCGCGTCATCTTGTCATTGCTTTCTTGCACACTTAGGTCTTCTGTGAGAGTATGTAGGTTAAGATCTATCATTTTTATATTCATTGTGCCTCCTGCATTAGATGCATAAATAATGTTGGATTGGCTTTCTTTTTTCTCATCCTTTATCATTTTGTTTCTTTCCTATAGATAATCTGCTGGGAATCTCTTGGGTTGACAGTTCCTGGATCCCCATTTTGAACAGTGGAAGTGTCCTGGATTACTTTTCAGAAAGAAGTAATCCTTTTTATGACAGGACATGTAATAATGAGGTGGTCAAAATGCAGAGGCTGACATTAGAACACTTAAAGTAAGTTATTGTAAGAAGGTAGCAAACATCTTTGTCAATTAGAGGTTTTGAAATGAATGGTTCTTTCAAGCTACGGATAGTGAAGTACAGAGCAGAAGTTTTGGAAGAAATGGAGTTTTGGGGGAGGTTTGTACAAATTTGACATTCAAAGAAGTTAATCATAGGCACTGATAACCTGGGAAGGCTTTTCTGATAATTTCATATATTACTGTCCAGTTAAAATATACCTATGAGGTTTAGATGCGGATCCAGTTAGTGATCTTAGCAATGCAACTGGTCTCTACCAGATGACTATACTTACTGTCTCTCTCTTTTTTTTCCCCAAAGATTTTAGTCATTCATTAGAGAGTGCGCACAAGCAGGGGGAGCAGCAGGCAGAGGGAGAGGGAGAAGCATGCTCCCTGTGGAGTAGGTGTCTGGTGTGAGGCTCAATCCCAGGACGCTGAGATCACTACCTGAACCGAAAGCAGACCCTCAACCTACTAAACCACCCAGGCACTCCCTTATTGTCTCTTACATCAAATTTAATGTCTTAAACCATAGTCTGACTTACAGTAGATTTTTCTTTGTATGACAAAGTTTTAGCTTGACGATTGCAAAGTAAGAGTCTTCAGACTTCAGATGCTAAATAATTAAGAATTTATTGCTATCACCAAAGTTTCTGAAGCAATTGTACAATTGTTTTTCATTTGTCACCTAATATCAGGGAGGGGTTCTTGATAAATTTCTGAGGTATTTTAAATAGCTTTTCTTAGGAGGCAAATATTTATGACTATTAGGACAACTTGCTTTTAAATAATACATCAGGTCAAAAAATTTGTCGGAGGCAAAGGTAAGGTTTTTGATGTTTTCTAGTTGAGTATGTATAGTTGAAATATATGGTCAAAGCATGTATAGTCTTCATGTACTATGTATTTTTAGATTTTACATATATTTATATGTCTCAGGAAACATTGCAGTATTTTGGTTGTCTTTTTTGAAAGGTACACTCTTCAACGTACTTTCATGAGTGAATACTCAGATTTAAGTTTATTGTGAATTTTTTTAGAGAAATTTTGTTGTTTAAAAATCAAATCTTTATCTATATTCCACCTACCTGGGAAAATAGCCAGTTTTATTGGACAGCTAGTTCTTAATATCAAACATAGTTTTAATCTGGTTTACAGTGTTACTGTACTTTTATATAATAATCTGAATGTTCTACGCAGTTGTTTGTAGGTCATTCATAGATCTCTGGATGTCTGTTCTGTTTTCAGTCAAATGGTTGGAGTGGAATACATCCTTTTACATGCTCAGGAGCCCATTCTTTTTATCATTCGGAAACAACAACGGCAGTCCCCTACCCAAGGTAAAAATGTGTAAACTTGAGGCATAATTTTCTTCTTAAAATACCATGATTTATTTAACCTTCTGAGCTACATGTTCTTACTTTTTTGGATTGGGTTCTGTTTTGGGGATTCCTAAGACCACATACATGTTCAGTGCTTTGCTAAGAGGACTCCGCAGATTCAGCATATGGGTCTGTTAGTTATACCTAAGATTTGTTATGATAGCACAGTAAAGATCCACTGACAAATCAGTAAGGGAAAAAGCTACATCAAGTGGGACTGTAGGAATCCATGTGTAAGCTTCCTTTGCTTTCCTTTTTGCAAGGGGATACACCAAGTGCATTCTCCTTCCAGCAGCCCCCACACACATATTAGGTGTGTAACCTATCTGTTTAGGAAAATCCTTTTGATCCTCGGAGTCCAGAATTTTTATGAGAGCTAATCTTTTTTTTTTTTTTTTTAAACAACTTAAGGAATTTATTATCTCATGTAACAAAAAGTCCAAAGGAAAAGCAGTCCCAGGATTGGTTAATTCGGAATCACAATTAAGGTGCTTTCTATCTGTGCACCCTGCTATCCTCAGTATGATGGCTTTCATTTTTATGCTTGTTCTCTCTCAGTTATCATCAGATGGAAGAGGAGGTGACAAATGCACTATATGAGCACTGACCCCAACCCACTGAGAAGATATGGTCTAATGAGAGTTGGTGTGCCTAATCCAATTGTCCACCCCTCTGCTCTTGGGAAATAGTAATTAGGGAATAAAGATAAGGAACCTTCTACACATGGGGAGAGAAGCTGAAAGTCCTCTGCCTGCCAAAATTCCAGACTCTCAGAAGGAAATGAAGTTTCTACTATAATATCGTTTGTACAAATTGTTGAGGCACACTAGTAGAGCACGCATAAATTTACCACTTAGGAAATGTTTCAGAAGCCAAGTTCCACTAGTTCTGTGCTTGTACACTAGAGTCTAGGGACAACTCTCCAAGCACTAACAAAGTAACTCACTACATTGAAGCCATTTCTTCTGTGAAAATATTTGTTGGGAACCTCGAACATCCCAAGTAACTTCTCATCTCAGTCCACTATGTCTAATTCTATTAAAAAATACATGGTAGATGCAGTTGTACCAAATTCATAGAGGATCCATTGAAAATCCTCATTGACACATTCAGCCAAAATTTTTACCTGACTTATGTTATCAAACATAAACTTGCTTTAGAAATCACACTGAAGAGTATAGAATTCAGATTTGACTTTGAATCAAAGAGCTAGTTACTATTCCAGAAATGACCAACTGCATTTCCTCATTAGATAACCTCATTAAGACATTTAGGAAAAACCTTCAGCCTGGTACTGATTCCAGAGAATGACTTGATAGAGAAGCTGTGCTTCCATAGTTAAGAATCCACATTTAATTTCAAACACAAAGGATCTAGAATCCTTGCCCAGAGGGAAAAAAAAAACCTTAGAACAAAGGCAAGGCCAGGAACAAGATTTCCATGATGGGTTCAGGTTATGGGAAGTGATACAAGGTGGTACCAGCTTCACTAGCAGCTGTTTTATTCCTTAGGACCCAGGAACGGGGCACAGAGGCAGGTTCAGTGCATCTGATATCTTCATCCTAGGTGCTAAATCTCTCACTCTGAGATCTTATTCCCCAAGCTGTAACTGACTAATAACAACATTGGATGATTTGGGAACTTGTTAGAAATGCACTATCCCTACTGAGTAAGAATCTGACTTTAACAAGATACCCGGGTGATTCAAATGTACATTCAAATTTGAGAAACATTGCTCTAGTTGGCAAACTGTTTCTGTGATGGTCCAGAGAATAAATATTTTAGGCTTTGTGGGCTTCAGGGTGTCTGTAATAGCTATTCAACTAGTGTCATAACAGTCTTAGATAATATAAATGAATGATTATGGCTGTTTTCCAATATAAGTTTATTTACAAAAATAGGAATTGCCAAACCTCGCCTTAATATGGGAAAATACCAAATTTTAGTTGTTCTTTTTATGAAAATATTTTTATTTGTGGCATAGCTATATTCATGAATATTTTTATTTTCACTGCTTCAGTTATCCCACTGGCTGATTACTATATCATTGCTGGAGTGATCTATCAAGCACCAGACTTGGGGTCAGTTATAAACTCTAGG